GAGATGTGGTTAAGTCAATGCGTGCCTGGGTGCTCGGTCTGGCATAGCCTCTTTTTTTTTTTTTTTAATAACACTTGATTGTGTTCATGTGTGTTTGTTTGTGGTTGTGTGTGTGTGTGTGTGTGTGTGTTTGTGTGTGTGTTGTGTCTTTAACGTACACAGGTAATTCATCTAACATAAGTGTTATACTTTGTGATAAACATTCCTATCATGATCATGTATGTACCTTGCCTTAGGGCCTACCATATTCTACATCTTGCATTTCTCCACATCTTGCGTTTCTCAACATCTTACAGTCCTCCACATCTTGCAGTCCTCAACATCTTGCAGTCCCCCACATCTTACAGTCCTCAACATCTTACAGTCCTCCACATCTTACAGTCCTCCACATCTTACAGTCCTCCACATCTTACAGTCCTCCACATCTTACAGTCCTCCACATCTTACAGTCCTCCACATCTTACAGTCCTCCACATCTTACAGTCCTCCACATCTTACAGTCCTCCACATCTTACAGTCCTCCACATCTTACAGTCCTCCACATCTTACAGTCCTCCACATCTTACAGTCCTCCACATCTTACAGTCCTCAACATCTTACAGTCCTCCACATCTTACAGTCCTCCACATCTTACAGTCCTCCACATCTTACAGTCCTCCACATCTTACAGTCCTCAACATCTTACAGTCCTCCACATCTTACAGTCCTCAACATCTTACAGTCCTCCACATCTTACAGTCCTCCACATCTTACAGTCCTCAACATCTTACAGTCCTCCACATCTTGCAGCACCCTACAACTTGCAGTCCCCCAAGATCTTGCAGTCCTCAACATCTTGCAGTCCCCCACATCTTGCAGTCTCCCACATCTTGCAGTCCCCCACATCTTGCAGTCTTCCAGCACCATTTATCGGTTCAAGAGCTGACACGTGTCCATGCATCGACAGAAGGCTGTCAGGAATATCTGTTGTTGTCTTTATCCGTTCAAAAACCTGACCTGTTGTTTGTTACAGCTTGGTCCATGTTTTACTCTTTTTATAATGCAGCCCACCGCATACAACTGCCTCTTTCTGATTTCTGTGTGGGATAAGTAGTCTTGGGGTTTTATTCACTTCCGGTCAATATGGAGGGTAGATAGATTTAAAATTTTAGTCGTGGCATGTTTTTTGCTTTTTTACAATACTTGGCTGTGGCGTTTTCCTCCATATGTAGACGGAAAGGATATAGTTTCGTCGTCCAGCTACAGCACTGTTGGAGACTGTAAGCTGATGGAGGATTTCACTTGGAATGTGTTTTCCACTGTGACCAGCGAGGTTTGTCCTGCGATCTGTAGATTCAGAAAATAGCGAATGGCCTTAGAACTAACTAGTGGCGCCCTCAGCCATGAATCGCCTGTGTGGCTATCGATCAGTTGTGACTTTGGCTTTCATCGATAATGAACTGCATTTCTGTTGTCGGACTATTTGTGGTACACTTCTAAAGGCTGACATTTGCATTTCATGGGTGTGTGTGCTACTGTATAGATTGGGACTACAGTATTGTCAATTTTTTATTGTCCACGTGGACAAAGGCGCTGAGGAGAATTGGGCTGCGGGGAGTTACCAGGGGATCTGGCCGACGCTGGAAACTAAGGGTAATGGCGAGACGGATATACAATCAGACAGTTACTGGTACCTTTAAAATTGCAACTCTTCGTTTGCTGCTGAAGATGGAGACGGAGCGCTTATCGGGATTTCCCTAGTTCTATGATGTGGATTCTTTATTCCACATAATATATAATATATCTGATTTTCGTTCGGAAAGTAACGGAGCAACTATATGAGACCGGTTTACTGTGAAGTTAAAGCTACTATTATCCGTTTACATTTTACCTTTGCCATTTTGAAAACATTCAGATTTCCTATTTCGGCTTTTCAATGAATTTAATTGATTTGTTTCATTTCTTTTTTGTTCATATCTTTTTAATTATGGTCTGAATTATGTTCTTGGCCAGCTTACTAACTGTCCAGTATTCACAACCTCTCTGATACCTTCAAATACAGGAGCGATCAGAAGTGATCACCACGTACGCCATGTGTGGTTTCTCGGCTATGAATTACCATTACTGCATCGGAACCTTCTCAAATGTATTTTTCACACTGCTTCGTTAGCCAATGAAGACTTCTTGTAATATTTTTATTTTAATATTAATAAAATGTTTTCATAATGTCAAGTGATTTATAAAAATGTGGGACTACAATAAAAGTGGCATATTCCTGGAAGCGATGACAATGAACTCTCTGTTTAGTTTAATGACGGCTATAAATGCAATGAAGTGACATGAATTTACGCACAATTAATCAATATTCCGAATGAGAGAGAAAAGAGTCATCCTCTTCAATTTTCACTTTTACCATCAAGCGTCGTTGGGAGGAACCTGTTGGGCAGCATTAGCTATAATAATTCCTGTCGATATAGAAACTCTTTAATGCCATCAGTCCATTTCTCTTAGGCCGACCTCTTACTGCGTTGGTATTTGGTGAGGCTACATTCTAACGACTCGATCAAAACGGTTATCTTCTATTTCTCCGTGAATTTGATGCGTAATGTTGTTTCCACAATCTCTCTGACAGTATCCTTTCTAACATTGTCTCGAATGGTTCAGTTAGTGTCTTTTCTGATGCATCTTTTACGTAGGTTAGCCTTTGATAAATCCACGTTTGACACTGGCAGCACAGCGTTGGCAGTAATATCCTGTTTCTTGGTCATACTCATTTGTAATGTCCTAATAACGGCACCGATTTGTATATAAGTGCGCTGGCTATTTGGCATCTTCTTTCTATCACCCGATCCGTCCCCTACCCACCCCCTTCTTCTAATAATACACGTTTTAGTCAGGAAAGGAAGGAATGACAGACATAAATGTCTCAGAGTAACACCAGGCATTGTCTTTTCTACCGGTATTTCCCACTTTTGGTAGTGCGTCACCAGTGGTGCTAAATCTGAGGATGTGAGGCTGCATGGTTGGCTAGTGCAGCCGCCAATAACTGTGCAGTTAGAATATGTTCTGGTTGTCCCCGACAGAGAACACCTCCATCCCTTCAGGTGAATCGAACCTGAGTCTGCTTGAGAGTCCTGTGCCAGACAAGTCGCACACCCGCCCCTCTGCCTAACCCCCCCCCCTCCCTTTTCCCCCAGGAACGATGCTAAAGTCGTCAATGATGCTGTCATTCAACTAAGTGTATGCTAGTAACCAACATCTTGTTCCAGAGTTTAATAAACAAATCAGCCTTATGTGAGTGATATGATTAATGTTGAGGCAGCAGACTTTACCCGCCACGATACCCTCCCCCCCCCCCCCCCCCCCCCCCCCCCCCACCCTCAAGTTGTTCCTTGTGCCCATTTGTTTGCGGAACGGATTTTATAGCCTATGTAACTTGTATAATCCATATTGATGGTCATTCGAACTTACAACCGCCGACTGAGCAGGCAAGTCTACTAGCTACTGCGTTCATGCAGCTCTCACACCAAAGTTCGCTAGGTTAAATCATGCAAAAAATGGTGTCTTTATTGTGCGAATATATTTACATATTGGTACTCCAACTTGAAAACAGATAAGTCTCTGTCAACCAATGATTCCGTGTTCTCAGCAATGATAAACACATTAACATGCTCTAATTAGCACTGATATAAAGGAATAGAGATAAGAAGTCACAATAAAATGTTAAAAGCTTAAGACTAATTGAACAAAAGCACCGTTGACCTAGAAATAGTCTTCTGAATGATATGTGCAAAAGTCACGTCAATACTCCTCACTGTTTTCGCGGAGTTCTTGTGACAGACATACAGACAGACTATGTATGTTCTGTTTTATGGTGCCGATAGATACATTTGTGTTAAGTGTGTGTGTGGATGAATGAATACGGGATTAGTGTCATACCTTAAATACCATAACAAACGGAAGCTATAGTTATCATATTAGTATTCGAACCTGTCACCTGCAAGTAGCGATGGCGCCTCTCTGCGGACTACAGCGAGGGTTTTCGTCTATATTGTCATTTGATTTCAATTTTACTCTGTCATCTTCTGGTTTTTCCTCATGAAATTAATACATGCAGGTGCAAACCATGAACACTCTTAATTGTGTTATAATTATGTTATAATTGTGTTATAATTATGTTATAATTGTGTTATAATTATGTTATAATTGTGTTATAATTATGTTAATGTGTGTTTTCTTTCTGTTCGTGACTGTTAATGTTAAAATATTTTTTGTGGTTATGTAGGATTGTTATTTAGGTTGAGACCCTCCGATTTGTGTCAGCTGGTGTGTTCCTGCCTCTCGTGACACTGCAGTTACAGTTGTCGGCCCAAAGAGCGTCTCTCTATCTCTCTCTCTCTGTGGGTGTGTGTGAGTGTGTGAGTGAGTGTGTGAGTGTAGCCCCAGAGAATAAGACAAAGATTCAAAAGATAACTGGGAGCAAATAACCTCCTACGTGTTATATTGTTTACATATAGTACATATTATGCAACTGTTGGATATCCAATAGATGATGAAGTCAACAAATATGCCAGCCGCTTTGACTTTTTATACAGTGATGCTTTACGCTCGCTTAGCTACAAAATCCACCATCCCATCTAAGACCAATGTAGAACAAACGAGAAAGAAAAAATATGCGTATAGTTTACATCCGGTGAAAGCTTAGTTCAAGGAGCGTAAGAAGACACCTTTAAAATGGCTTTCAAAATCAGAAAGCTAACCTATATTAGCACGCATATTCCTGGAAAATGTTCGAAATTGTTTGATCGACTATCAATGAAAACCATACTAGAGTTACTGAAACCAAAAATAACAATATTAAACAGAAAGCGCCCACTTCATTTGTTCCCCCGTCATCCCAAACAAAGAAAGAAACAAACAAAAAAAGCATTATCTGTCACACAGTGTAACAGCAAAACCCACATACTCAACGGTCATGATGACAATGATGATGATTGCCATATGATGATAGTTCAAATCAACTAAGTCAACAGATGTGGAGCCGAAGCTATGACAGCTAGTGTAGAGCCCAGGGTGAAGATGATACAGATGATAAAACAGAGCCGGTCCATCACCATGGCAGCGAACCTCCACTCGTTTCTGATATCATTCTCTTCTTCCTCCTTTCGGAACTTGGCCGTGACCTTCTTGATCTCGCGGAGAATACACGTGATGTCATGACGTACAGATGACGATGCCATTCCTATGCTGTCCTCCATCTAAGTTAGTGACAAGAAAACATACAGTCAAACGTTTCAGCTACAGCTCATCGAAACGAAGACATTTTAAAAAGTTTTTATTTACAAGGGATTCGCCGTGGCCGAGCGGCTAGACACTCGCCGTGGATCAGAAAATCGTGGGATCGCCTGGCGGAGCCGGATCTATTTCAAAATGACCTTGGCTCCCAGGTCGACCCAGCCTTCAGTGGGTACCGCCTGCAGTCCCTGGAAAGTAAAGGCGGCCTGCGTGATGCTGACCACATCACCCGTCTTGTGCCGATTGGTCTATAAAAATATAGGTTTAGCCCAATATGCCATATACGCCTAAAGGCTTGGAAAAGGGTCCTTTACTTTTTTATTTTTACTTTTTATTTATAAATTGACATTGGGCAACCATACAGAAATATATCTGACACAATGTAATATATTATAAATTACTTGCACATGCTGATCACAGCAGTAAACTAATAATAACCAGTGTAAAGAGGAGATTCCCCAGTGAATTCTTTAGATGACGTAAAAATGTCAATGGTCAGTTAAGAAAGTAGAACTCGAGAAGGCAACGCTCGCAGAAAGTTGACAACCAGTGAAAAGGAGAGGAAAGGTGAAAGAGGTGATCGAGTTAGTTGGTGTTTGGCAGCCAGGGCCAAAGGTTGAGGTCTGAGAGGCGTGTGACTGCTATGAAATGTTTCTGTCGAAGCTGTGGAGAAGTTGCTGATTCCACGTGATGATTGCCTAACCAGAAGTTATCTCAGGTCGACATCCAGTCCGACTGCTAAGATTAGTAGCCGATTGTTGGAGATGTCAGTTTGTCGCCTGTGTGGCACCTGAGGAAATCATCCCGAATGCAAGGCAACAAGTTTTGAACATTGTGAACATCGTAAGCGTGTATTGTAACTATTGATGACTGAAATTATTACGACATGGAGATCAGAAGACAGCGACTAAAAGACATGAAATGAACACTGTGAGTTGCTTTGGTTCTTAATTTATAACGTACCCCAAACACGAAATCCCAGTGGGAAATCCACAGCTGACCTGACAGTCCATTATTTAAAGGGGTGGAAGTGTACTGTTGTGTGGCGTTTTTTTTTTTTTTTTTTTTTTTTTGAGTGTTCATCTAGTGTCTTCTAATGCTAATCCTAACCCTAACCCTAACCCTAACCGTAATCCTAAACTTGGCTGTAGATAAATCGCGAGAAACTACAACCTGAACACCCTAGAATTTATTGGGAATGTCTCCCGTGACGTTGTCGTGACGTCAAGGGTAAGTTATAAATTAAGTACCGTTGCTTTTTTTCCCTAATTATCTGAGGGTATTGTCCATCTACGTAAAATGACACCTTTATCGTCTAGATATCCAACCATCACACAGAGAAATCAATATCACAGCCAATTATATACGCTTGTCAGGTTAATTTGTTGTTCATTTTGTCGGCTTTTGTTCGATATGTCAATCGAAAAGTCCTTCTTTTGTCTATAGTCTTGCTGCCTGAGTGTCTATTCTACCGTATGATTAATCCTGATCACAACCTTTTGTTGCAAATATGGCGACCATATTTCTTCCTGCCAATGACGTTTCTTGTGCCTATTGTGACTGTAGAGGTCGAATGTCTCTCAAGAGTGTTTGAACACGCCTGTTTTTGTGTGCGCTGTGTTTGCAAAAAATGACTATTCCTTATGGCTGTAAAAAGCGACAGTAAGTAAACATGCTATATATAACAGTAGGAAGTCTTGTATCTATGGTTGGTTAAAAGACGTTTGAAACTCATTGGACAGCCAAGATTTTTTTTTATCTTAATCTATTGAAATAAGATGAAGCGCGAATAAAACAGTCAGAGCTTTTGACTGCATTATGGAATGTGTTGTTACAATAGCGATTAATCTGGGGGGGGGGGGGGGGGGGGGGGGGGGAATAAATGACAGAAGGTTCTTGACAGCCGTCTATCGTGGTTTGACATGGTTTTTGCGAAAGATATTGCTGATGTACATGACAAGATATGACAAGTCGTGATTGCTAAGGTTGGCCAGACACTTGGTCGTGATGCTAGTGATGTTTCCATTTATTAATCATAAGAAGTACATATGTATAAGACTTTGAAGAAGTACCTTCAGAATAAAACTTGCGGCGCTTCCTTTTGCCATTCTGGGATCATCATCCATGTCGAGGACGTTGGCCATCAGGCTGCGGGACTTCTCCTCCAATGTTCCCAGCTTGAAATCCTTCACCTGGGCTCTCTGCATCAACGATCTTCTGGACGGAGTGCCGCCGGGACGTTTCATCCGCAGCACCCAGGCCAACCAGCCGCACACGAAGTTCTTGATCTGGGTTGTGAAGTGTTCAAGTGTCAGGTTGTGTATGATCTCAGATCTGGTTTGTGAAGTGTTCAAGTGTCAGGTTGTGTATGATCCCAGATCTGGGTTGTGAAGTGTTCAAGTGTCAGGTTGTGTATGATCTCAGATCTGGGTTGTGAAGTGTTCAAGTGTCAGGTTGTGTATGATCTCAGATCTGGGTTGTGAAGTGTTCAAGTGTCAGGTTGTGTATGATCTCAGATCTGGGTTGTGAAGTGTTCAAGTGTCAGGTTGTGTATGATCCCAGATCTGGGTTGTGAAGTGTTCAAGTGTCAGGTTGTGTATGATCTCAGATCTGGGTTGTGAAGTGTTCAAGTGTCAGGTTGTGTATGATCCCAGATCTGGGTTGTGAAGTGTTCAAGTGTCAGGTTGTGTATGATCTCAGATCTGGGTTCTGAAGTGTTCAAGTGTCAGGTTGTGGATCCCAGATTGTGAAGTGTTCAAGTGTCAGGTTGTGTATGATCCCAGATCTGGGTTGTGAAGTGTTCAAGTGTCAGGTTGTGTATGATCTCAGATCTGGGTTCTGAAGTGTTCAAGTGTCAGGTTGTGTATGATCCCAGATCTGGGTTGTGAAGTGTTCAAGTGTCAGGTTGTGTATGATCCCAGATCTGGGTTGTGAAGTGTTCAAGTGTCAGGTTGTGTATGATCTCAGATCTGGGTTGTGAAGTGTTCAAGTGTCAGGTTGTGTATGATCTCAGATCTGGGTTGTGAAGTGTTCAAGTGTCAGGTTGTGTATGATCCCAGATCTGGGTTGTGAAGTGTTCAAGTGTCAGGTTGTGTATGATCCCAGATCTGGGTTGTGAAGTGTTCAAGTGTCAGGTTGTGTACGATCCCAGATCTGGGTTGTGAAGTGTTCAAGTGTCAGGTTGTGTATGATCCCAGATCTGGGTTAAGAAGTGTTAAGTGTCAGGTTGTGTACGTGTGACAGATCTGGATTGAAATGTGTTTATACATAAGGTTGTGTTGGATCCCAGATTTGGGTTAGGAAGTGTTCAAGTGTCAGGTTTTGTATGATCCCAGATCTGGGTTGTGAAGTGTTCAAGTGTCAGGTTGTGTATGATCCCAGATCTGGGTTGTGAAGTGTTCAAGTGTCAGGTTGTGTATGATCCCAGATCTGGGTTGTGAAGTGTTCAAGTGTCAGGTTGTGTATGATCCAGATCTGGGTTGTGAAGTGTTCAAGTGTCAGGTTGTGTATGATCTCCAGATCTGGGTTCTGAAGTGTTCAAGTGTCAGGTTGTGTATGATCCCAGATCTGGGTTGTGAAGTGTTCAAGTGTCAGGTTGTGTATGATCCCAGATCTGGGTTGTGAAGTGTTCAAGTGTCAGGTTGTGTATGATCCCAGATCTGGGTTGTGAAGTGTTCAAGTGTCAGGTTGTGTATGATCCCAGATCTGGCTTAAGAAGTGTTAAGTGTCAGGTTGTGTACGTGTGATAAATCTGGATTGAAATGTGTTTATACATAAGGTTGTGTTGGATCCCAGATTTGGGTTAGGAAGTGTTCAAGTGTCAGGTTTTGTATGATCCCCGATCTGGGTTGTGAAGTGTTCAAGTGTCAGGTTGTGTATGATCCCAGATCTGGGTTGTGAAGTGTTCAAGTGTCAGGTTGTGTATGATCCCAGATCTGGGTTGTGAAGTGTTCAAGTGTCAGGTTGTGTATGATCCCAGATCTGGGTTGTGAAGTGTTCAAGTGTCAGGTTGTGTATGATCTCAGATCTGGGTTGTGAAGTGTTCAAGTGTCAGGTTGTGTATGATCTCAGATCTGGGTTAAGAAGTGTTAAGTGTCAGGTTGTGTACGTGTGACAGATCTGGATTGAAATGTGTTTATACATAAGGTTGTGTTGGATCCCAGATTGGGTTAGGAAGGTTCAAGTGTCAGGTTTTGTATGATCCCGATCTGGGTTGTGAAGTGTTCAAGTGTCAGGTTGTGAATGATCCCAGATCTGGGTTGTGAAGTGTTCAAGTGTCAGGTTGTGTATGATCCCAGATCTGGGTTGTGAAGTGTTCAAGTGTCAGGTTGTGTATGATCCCAGATCTGGGTTGTGAAGTGTTCAAGTGTCAGGTTGTGTATGATCTCAGATCTGGGTTCTGAAGTGTTCAAGTGTTAGGTTGTGTATGATCCCAGATCTGGGTTGTGAAGTGTTCAAGTGTCAGGTTGTGTATGATCCCAGATCTGGGTTGTGAAGTGTTCAAGTGTCAGGTTGTGTATGATCCCAGATCTGGGTTGGGAAGTGTTCAAGTGTTAGGTTGTGTACGATCCCAGATCTGGGTTGTGAAGTGTTCAAGTGTCAGGTTGTGTATGATCCCAGATCTGGGTTGTGAAGTGTTCAAGTGTCAGGTTGTGTATGATCTCAGATCTGGGTTCTGAAGTGTTCAAGTGTCAGGTTGTGTATGATCTCAGATCTGGGTTAAAAAGTGTTAAGTGTCAGGTTGTGTACGTGTGACAGATCTGGATTGAAATGTGTTTATACATAAGGTTGTGTTGGATCCCAGATTTGGGTTAGGAAGTGTTCAAGTGTCAGGTTTTGTATGATCCCCGATCTGGGTTGTGAAGTGTTCAAGTGTCAGGTTGTGAATGATCCCAGATCTGGGTTGTGAAGTGTTCAAGTGTCAGGTTGTGTATGATCCCAGATCTGGGTTGTGAAGTGTTCAAGTGTCAGGTTGTGTATGATCCCAGATCTGGGTTGTGAAGTGTTCAAGTGTCAGGTTGTGTATGATCTCAGATCTGGGTTCTGAAGTGTTCAAGTGTCAGGGTTTGTATGATCCCAGATCTGGGTTGTGAAGTGTTCAAGTGTCAGGTTGTGTATGATCCCAGATCTGGGTTGTGAAGTGTTCAAGTGTCAGGTTGTGTATGATCCCAGATCTGGGTTGGGAAGTGTTCAAGTGTTAGGTTGTGTACGATCCCAGATCTGGGTTGTGAAGTGTTCAAGTGTCAGGTTGTGTATGATTCCAGATCTGGCTTAAGAAGTGTTAAGTTTCAGGTTGTGTACGTGTGACAGATCTGGATTGAAATGTGTTTATACATAAGGTTGTGTTGGATCCCAGATTTGGGTTAGGAAGTGTTCAAGTGTCAGGTTTTGTATGATCCCCGATCTGGGTTGTGAAGTGTTCAAGTGTCAGGTTGTGTATGATCCCAGATCTGGGTTGTGAAGTGTTCAAGTGTCAGGTTGTGTATGATCCCAGATCTGGGTTGTGAAGTGTTCAAGTGTCAGGTTGTGTATGATCCCAGATCTGGGTTGTGAAGTGTTCAAGTGTCAGGTTGTGTATGATCTCAGATCTGGGTTGTGAAGTGTTCAAGTGTCAGGTTTTGTATGATCCCAGATCTGGGTTGTGAAGTGTTCAAGTGTCAGGTTGTGTATGATCTCAGATCTGGGTTCTGAAGTGTTCAAGTGTCAGGTTGTGTATGATCCCAGATCTGGGTTGTGAAGTGTTCAAGTGTCAGGTTGTGTATGATCCCAGATCTGGGTTGTGATGTGTTCAAGTGTCAGGTTGTGTATGATCCCAGATCTGGGTTGGGAAGTGTTCAAGTGTTAGGTTGTGTACGACCCCAGATCTGGGTTGTGAAGTGTTCAAGTGTCAGGTTGTGTATGATCCCAGATCTGGGTTAAGAAGTGTTAAGTGTCAGGTTGTGTACGTGTGACAGATCTGGATTGAAATGTGTTTATACATAAGGTTGTGTTGGATCCCAGATTTGGGTTAGGAAGTTTTCAAGCGTCAGGCTGTGTACGATCCCAGATCACGGTTGGTAAGAGTTCAAATCTCAGGTTTTGTGTGATCTGAAATGCGGTTATATCTTACGGGCCTGTTGTATTTATAGTGTTCTATTGTTTTTGCATGTATGCTTCTAATGTTTGAAAAGTATTCTTCTTTTTTTTTTTTTCACTGTTTGCTTCTATTGTTGTATATTGGTCGAACAGATTTTTCATGTTATCCTACTGGTCTTTTTAAAGTATGCTCCTGATGTTTGTATCTAGTACTCAGCTAGTTTATCATGTCACCAATACCTCAGTACTCGCCCATTTTCTAGTGGTACAAACATCATGCACTTATACGGTTTATCATGTCACCAACACCCCAGTACTCGCCCATTTTCTAGTGGAACAAACATCATGAACTCAGACAGTTTATCATACCATGTACACCCAGCAAACACCGGGTCTATCATGACACAAACAGCCAGTACTCACACAATTTATCATCTCACCTCAGCTCTCAGGCATTTTATGATGCCAAAGTCATCCAGTACTTACCTAGTTTATCGGGTTACGTATACATCAGTAATCACTCAGTTTCCATTCCACAAACATTCAGTACTCAACCAGTTTCTCAAGCCACAAACATCTAGTACTCACACAGTTAATCATGTCACCAGTACCCCAGTTCTCAGCTATTTTATCATTCCACGATCATTCGGTACTTAAGTTTTTTATTATGTGATAAATTTCGCAGCCTTGATCCAGTTTATCATTCCACAAACTTCCTGTACCCAAACAGTTTGTCATACCACAAACATCCAGCACTCACACAGTGTATCATGTGACCAGTACCCCAGTTCCTATTCAGTTCATCATTATGATACAGTCACCCTGTACCTGCCCGGTTTGTTACGTTACCATAGTCTAGTTCTCAACAGTTTTTTAATGTCATTATTACTCCAGTAATTATCAAGTTTTTAATGTCCCTGATATTCCAGTTTTTACCCAGTTTATGATGTCACTAATACCCCAGTCTTTACCCAGTTTTTAATCACACTAACACATCAGCTATTACACAGTTTATCATGTCAATATTACCCCAGATTTTACCCAGTTTACCTGTCAAGTATATCCCAGTTCTCACCCAGTTTATCATGCCATTAATGCCGCAAATCTTATCCAGTTTATTATATCATTAATGCCATAACTTTCATCAACTTTGTCATGAAACAATTTCCTAATCTTCTCCAGTTTAACATGACACACTCCCCCTCCCCCCCTCCCCTACCAAAGCCACAGTACTCACCCAGTTAGGCATGGTGTGAGTGTCTGGCGAGCGGTAGTGAAAATTGAGCACGCAGACAGTGAACACAATGGAGACAGACACCATCATCATGATGCATGCAAAATAGATTCCTGCAACATAAAACATGTCACATGTCTACATTTCTAAGTCTTTACACGTGGTTTGTTGCTAAAGAATCAACAGAAAATATGGTCATTTCAAGAGTAAACACTACATGACATTGTGTCATTTAGTCGCTGCATTAAGTCCCCTACATCCATCTTTCATGTATCAATGACAGACGCATTCATACTTGGTATCAGTTCTATTATTTCCAACGATAAGTTCTGTAAAGCAGACACACAATAAGTTACCCAAGATTTGAGATCTCTACGCGTGACAGCCAGTCATCGCACGGCCGTTCATTCTGAACACTCGGGAGCACTGAGACAGAACCAGTACTCGCCTCCATCATTGGAATATCTCCGCTAGGTTTACACTTCGGGTCATGTCCGACGTAAGCTGAAGACGATCTTTCATAGAACGATCAACAATGAACAATGTTTGGTGTCCAATGTATATCGTGTGTTCTCTCAAATCTAAAACTCATTTCTCTCCTCGTCATCTATGAATGTCAATCAATTCTTGAGAATATATTTCTCATTCGGTTTCAATCGTCTCCAGAGATAAATTAATAATTAGAATCGTATTCTTCCATGTTCGCCCTTAAAAGGGCAGTTGGCTGATTGAGTTGTGGTTTACAGCTAGGCTGTGATATCTGGGAATTTAGGCTCAAAACGTCCCAATAAAAAATAACTCCTCAGTCACCTTTAACGACATGCTTATTAAGGGACAGTATGACTATTTTGTCCCCCCACCCCCATCACCCCCTCATCCCACCCCCTCATCCCACCCCCTCATCCCACCCCCTCATCCCACCCCCCTCACCCCACCCCCTCACCCCACCCCCCTCCTCATCCCATGGGACCCTCGCCCAACACACAGGGATAATAACAACGCAGCAGGCAGTATAACACAGGAGCTGCCGTGGAGTAGCGGCTAGACGCTTGCTTGCGGAACTGAGGGTCGTGGTTTCAGGTCATCCTTAAGCCGGACGTTTTTTCAAACATAACATTGATTTCCAGGTCAGACCAGCCTTAAATGGGTATCATTTAAAGACTTGGAAAGTAAATGCGGCCGGCGTGATGTTGTCTGATTGTTCTATACAGTTTATATCTAGCCCTTCATACCCAATACGAATAGATGTTTAAAAAGGGTCCTTAAGTTTACTGTGTTTAGTATAACACAATCACAAGAATGACAAGAATGTGGTTATTTGAAGTCTAAACCTATCAGTGGAAGAGCGTCTGATGTTGGCGGGGAACTAAACACGTACCTATCAGTGGAAGAGCGTCTGATGTTGGCGGGGAACTAAACACGTACCTATCAGTGGAAGAGCGTCTGATGTTGGCGGGGAACTAACACACGTACCTATCAGTGGAAGAGCGTCTGATGTTGGCGGCATTTTGTCTCCGCTACCAGCAGCAGGAAGACCATCAACGACAAGAGGATGGTGACGCCTGAGACAGTAAAACATTCAGTAATAAGGCGCTAGATCACTATCGCCATCATCACCACCATCATTATCATCATCGCCATCATCATCACCATCCCCATCATCATCATAACCACCATCATCATTATCGTTATCTTCATGATCATCGCCACAATCTTCATCATCATCGCCGTTATCATCATCATTACATTCATTAGCATCAAGACCATTATTATGGCTATCATCATCATCATCATCATCGCCGTTATCATCATCATCATCACCATCATCATCATGACCATTATTATCGCCATCATCATCATTGTCATGACCATCATTATCATCATCATCTCATCATCACCATCACCCAGCATATCGTTCTCATCACGGGTAACCAGGTAACTGCAGCTCCAACGTCCAAAAAAATGGGTCAGCCCAAAGTTTCTCTGTATCCTTTATAGAGAAAATCAATTAGAACGTCCATCACTGTTGCTTGTGAAAAAAGTTGCCACAGTCTGCAGTCTTAGCAAATCTAATAGCATACACACTAAACATTGAGTCAGTTCATCGTTGAAGGAGGCATACATTACAACAGATCAGTAGTTGCACACGCAAAACATTGAATCGGCACCGCCAGTTCTGTAGTAATAGGCCACTTGTCATTTTCTGAATCGCAATTAAGAAAACAAACCACGTTGGGCATAGTCGATAAGGATTTTTTTTTTTAAATTCACAACTCACAGTGTCGTAACACTGCATTTAATTCAATATCTGGACAACGGAACTATATCCTTCAATCTGTATATAGAGGAAAATGCAACGGCTAACTTTTATCAGAAGCAAAAAAATCGTGACATGACTTTTAAAAAACAGTAAACCTGCCTATCCGCCATATTGACACACAATTATTTCATCATGACACCACTTTGCTCCACTGCTAACAGTCCTGCTGGTTGGACTCTCGTGCCTAAAGTGTCCTTGGTATCCTGTATCCATCTACGTCCTGATCAACCTTCTCTCTTTTAAAAACCTTACTCTCTATTACAGCTCTCTCCGGACCAATATGGCGGTTGATATGGCTTAAATATTTCAGTTTTCTAGAAACTATAATGGCAAATAATCGAGTTTCCCTAAGTATTCAGATCGTAAAGAATGTCAATATATTTTTTTTTCTTTGTCGATGTTTTTTTTGGAAATCTTCCTGTAACAATCAAATTAAAAATATATCAAGTAAGTCAGTTTTTAAAACACGCATTGATTTGCTATTAAAAACTGTGCCTTAGCGATCACCTAATGGCTAAATGGTGCTATATTTATTGGTTACTGTATGCAAAGTGTATTGCTTATACCTACTCCACAGTTTCTCTGTTTCTTGTCCTACCTGTATTGCTTTGATAAATTGTGTGCAGAGAACACTTTGCATCTCAATCCCGTGTGTCTGTTGTCGCTGTCGACGTCACTGAACATCTGACAGTCCCAGAATATATTTAGTCTTCTTTTGATGTGACTAGACTTAGGGAGTTACGTTCCAGATATCTTCATTACTCTTGTCATCTGTCCTCTCCAGTATATTCTATCAAAACCACACCTCCGAACCTTCGTGAACAAAACAATCACTTATCATCTACATGCACAAAACTGTCTTCCGTATACCACGAGAGGACTGATTTTAGTCCAAAATTATCTTTCACGTCTCAACTGACAATAAAAGATTGCATAGGATAGTCTTCGTAATTATGTAACATGCTATCTTTGCTTCAGCTTTTCAAAATTTAACTGCTTAAATATATTTTCTGTCTTTTGTTGTGAACCAAGTACTTGACTTTCTTGAACAATGCCCTTTCAGCTTTGATACGACATTACGAATGGTCCATTCTGTGTGTAATTACCATTAATTCTGGGCTTTTTTTTTTTTTTTTTGTTGTTGTTCGAACTAAGACCCTTGTTTTGACTTTATGTTACAGTTATGTTTATCATTTCTTGCAGTTGTGTTTCATTTNTGTTACCACATACTGGACCATAGAAACTTTTCTGTTACACATCTGGATCATGATGTTACACATCTGGACATAGAAACTTTGCTGTTCAACATCTGACATAGAAACTTTGCTGTTACACATCTGGACATAGAAACTTTGATGTTACACATCTGGACATAGAAACTTTGCTGTTACACATCTGGACATAGAAACTTTGATGTTACACATCTGGACATAGAAACTTTGCTGTTACACATCTGGACATAGAAACTTTGCTGTTACACATCTGGACATAGAAACTTTGATGTTACACATCTGGACATAGAAACTTTGCTGTTACACATCTGGACATAGAAACTTTGCTGTTACACATCTGGACATAGAAACTTTGATGTTACACATCTGGACATAGAAACTTTGATGTTACACATCTGGACATAGAAACTTTGCTGTTACACATTTGGCATAGAAATAGTTAACAACATTTTTTTTGTTACACATTGGACATAGAAACTTTGCTGTACACATAGTTTGTTTTTTTTTTTTTAATACTGGTAAATATTCGCGCAAAATTCAAGCTAAAAAAAAGTTGATATAAAATGTAATAACATAAACTGGGGTGGTGGGGGGGTGGGGGGGGGGGGGGTGGGAGAACATTAAACGTACTAATACTCTATAGGGTACAGGAAAATTGTTATGCTAGTTTTACATCGGGTTAATGATGCTATATATATATATATAGAGAGAGAGAGATAGAGAGAGAGAGAGAGAGATTGAGAGAGAGAGAGGGAGAGAGAGGGAGGGAGAAAGAGAGAGAGGGGGGAAAAGACAATTTGGGGCACTTGATATGTAATATGATCAACTTCATGCGGGTCGCCTTTACCTCCCATGGCATTATTTGGTACTCATTTAAGGCTAGGTCGACCTGGGAGCCAAAGTTAATTTTAGGGAGGAAAAGCTACCTCGATAAGGATTTAAACCAGAGACCACAATATTAATAAACTTATGCATCTCTGCAAAATTTAAAATGTGTTCTGTTGAGTCTAAACACTTTTACTGTGGGATAACTATCGGAACATTATTTATGTTTCGTCATTTAGTCTAAGTTTTGTTTACGCAGAACATCTTTAAAAAGGCTTTATAATTTATTTATTTTTGTAAAAATTCCCAAAGGACAATCAGTTGTCAAATAACACGAACAAAGTAAGTTTCTAGAATAAGAAACACAATGTAAATTAAAGTAAACAACGAAGAATTTGATCAAAAAAGATGCAAACAATAGATTGCACAATTGATTGCCTGGCATATTTTGATGTATCTCGTCAGGTGTATATGGCAGTTAATATTAAATAAATGAAGCAAATAAGTGAATCCTTTACAACTGAAGTTCAAATTCAACCACACTCAAAAGCAACTGCCCATTTGACCAGGGACACCGCAAAATCAAAAGCCTCTGCCTATTTGACCAGGGACACCGCAAGGTCAAAATCATGTCTGTCAGTCTTTTGCTTTTAACTGTTGATAAATGTTACTACATTTAAAAAGGGTTCGCTGATTTGCGTCATGTATCTGAATAATAATAGAGTAAACATATCAAAGAACTACGCGTTTGGTTTCGGGTAGCCGTGGCGGAGCGACTAGACGCTCAACAAGGATCGGAAAGTCGTGGGTTCGTTTACTTGGCACAGCCGGTCTTTTTTTTTCAAAAATGACCTTGACTCCCTGGTCGACCAAGCCTTGAGTGGGTACGGGTGCAGTCCTGGGAAGTAAAGGTAGTCAGCGTGATGCTGACCACATCACCCATCTTGTGCCGATTGGTCTTTAAAATATAGGTCTAGCCCTATATGCCCTATACGCCTAAAGGCGTGTAAAAGGGTCCTTTACTTTACTTTTTTTTTGCGTTTCTAGTTTACTACAACATCGGTTCAACTTACCAATAAGCATCCATTCTCCATTCCTAATGAAGCTGGTAATATCTCCACCATCCGGTTTGTCCTGGGTTAGATTCAGCAGATGACCTTCGTGCGTCCATGAGCCGAATTTAAGGTCACATTTTTGGTCATCAAAAGGAAACCAGGTGATGTCAATGGCGCATGTGCTTTTGAACATCCCAGGAGGCACGTAGAGACAGGATCCGTCGCTGTTGATGACTACGTTCGTGGCAAAAGTCTGATCAAAGTTGTCGCTGGCGCTGAAATTGTAGTCATCTAAGGCGATTACTAAAATTGGCTGAGGCTGTGACATTAGAACTGATTAATATCGTTTTTGCAAACAAAACAAAATAAGGATATTTTGAAAATATAAATCTGCCGCACTAACCTCTTGACTATCTGGTACTTCCGGTCGTGAGATGTACATTGTGACTAGAAAAGACAATGTGATGTGTGTGTGTGTTTTTCAGTAAAAAAGATTCATTTCTGTATGCTTCATTTTATACAGTCAGAAAACTACATAATGAAAATGTATCATCCATTCCAAGGCCTCGATAACACGTTTCGAAATTTGAAACATAATTTAATATTTCCTCTTTGCTCTTTGGAGCAGTCGTAGTGTAGCGGCTATATTCAACTGCACATCGGAAGATCATGGGTTTAAGTGCGAACGGAACCAGACGTTCAATAAAAAATGATCTTTGTTACCAAGTCGACTTTTAATCTTGAGTTGACCCCATCACCCAACAAGCGCTGCTTGGTCAATAATATATATGTCTGCCTCTATGTGCCCAACATGCCCGAAGAAAGGACATATGTCCTTTACTTTATTCACTTATCTGCTGCATAGTAACCATGCAACTCTCACTAGCTATGCACCATGGCGGGCTACTTACTGTTTGCTGACTGGGCGGTTATGAGTTATGAGTTGGATTATCTTCACGGCACTCCGGACACATCCATAGGCGCTCAAAATCCCCTCTCAACATATTCATCAGCGTCGTGAGGTTAATAGTACCAGTCCTATGTTGGTTAACAAGACTTCGTGTGCGTCCAGTGTGCTTCTCAAGCTTGGCTGTTCTGATCTTTACTCCCAGTTCGCGTATTCTTAGAAGTGATGTGGACACGTTGCTTTGAAAATCCTCAGAACGTCCTATCTCTCTAAGGGCAATGACAATGCGTGATCCATGGGCCGGCCATCTTCAATTAATGCAGTGCCTGCCAGTCTATCAGGTCTCTCATTACCATCAAGGTCTGCATGCCCTGAGACGAATATGAAAGTAACTGCACTCACAGAAGAATTTTGCAATGACTCAAGCCACTATCTGCGTTACTAGCCTGCCTCGACCGCCGGATCATACTCAAGGAATCACTCAGCACCAGTGTTGCCACTATTCTTTGAAAAAAACATCCAAAACGGAGTCAAAAAATGTCTTAAAACATCTAAATTTGCGTGGAAAACATCTAAAACAAACATCCAAATGGAAAGAGTCACAAAATACATAGTAATTGATATGACTAATCTTATAGAATCATGTCCTCATCTTTACTGAAGTCTGCCTTACAAGATCCACAGGATAAACTTAGCTTGGATGATGAAGTTGAAGCTTCGGGTCCAAAATGAATCTGGTATGCGTTAGCTGTTCCAGTTCCTTTTAATACCTAATCAGGGAGCTGATAAGTGGAACAGCCTGTTCCTACTCTTATCAGGTCAAATTTTATTGTCAAGATAGCATTTAAGAGGTCCAGTTTCATCCTGTTTCTTAGGTTAGATTTGATAAATTCACTCCAAATGAAAAACATCTAGAAAACATCTACCATCTAAACGTCAAAAAACGACACATAAACGCAAGGCAAAACATCTAAATCTGGATGTAAAACATCCAAAGTGGCAACACTGCCCAGCGCACGCACTCACGCGGGAATAGTCCTCTGATCCCAGCCACATGAAAGCCTGCGTCACCGCCATCACCTCCATCGTCATGCTGCTGGTGGTCGGGGCGGTGTTACAATTTGGAGAAATCAGAGACGAATGATGTCTGTTTGGATAGCATGTTTAGCATTATGGATTACGTTTTTTTTTTCCCCATAATAAAATCAGTCTCTCTATTTAACTGGCAAACGGTGAATAGTGGTGTGTTTGTGTAATAATGCCACTGGCGAGATGCAGTGAAATATGCCAGACAAAAACATTGTCCTGTAGAACTAAACATTCAAATCCTCAGTTACCGGCCCTTTCGACCTCAGTTACCGGCCCTTTAGACTTCAGTTACCGGCCCTTTGGAATAAGGACATAAAAATACATCAGTATTGTGAAACCAAGCATGTGTTCATTGCTTACACTTTAACATGCTACCGCAAATTTCTGACCACTGCCCATATTCTGGAACCACTAGCCAGGCGGAAGTTTTCCTGTTTCAACCAGGTCTAAAATAGGTAAAGGGTTGTGTTCTGGGAGGTAAAAAAGATCTTTGAGACACTGACAACTGCACCCATCCAATGCGTATTTATAAATAAATGTTAATAGTTAGCAAATAAAACGCATCTTCCTTCTTTCTGCTGTCATGAGAGACAATCACCTGGTGCACCTTGCCACAGACAATCACATATTGTACCTTGCCACAGACTATCCCCTGTTGCACCTTGCCACAGACAATCACCTGTTAAACCTTGCCACAGACAATCACATGTTGTACCTTGCCACAGAGAATCATATGTTGCACATTGCTATAAATACTCACCTGTTGTACCTGGCCATAAATACTCACCTGTTGTACCTGGCCATAAATACTCACCTGTTGTACCTTGCCATAAATACTCACCTGTTGTGCCTTGCTATAAATACTCACCTGTTTTCCCTTGCCATAAATATTCACCTGTTGTACCTTGCAACAGACATTCATATGTTGTACCTGGCCATAAATACTCACCTGCTGTACCTGGTCATAAAAACTCACCTGTTGTACCTGGCCTTAAATACTCACCTGTTGTACATAAGGATGTCTGGAACCCATACCATGTGTTTGGGCACTCTGATTGAGGACACGTTTCCGTATTCGTCCTTGTTCCATCGCAGATTGGCTGCGTTCCAGATCTATAGTGAAGTAGTAGTTGTTTTAGTTAGTTATAGTTGTATTAGTTTTTGTAGCTACAGTTGTAGTAATAGCAGTAGCAGCAGCAGTAGTAGTGTGAGTAGTAGTACAGCAGCAGCAGTAGTAGTAGTATTAGTAGTATTAGTAGTAGTAGCAGCAGCAGTAGTAGTAGTAGCAGCAGAAGCAGCAGCAGCAGTAGTAGTAGTAGAAGTAGTAGTAGTAGTAGTAGTAGCAGCAGCTGCAGCAGCAGCAGCAGTAGCAACAGTAGTAGTAGTAGTAGTAGTAGTAGTAGTAGTAGCTGTTGTTGTTGTTGCTGCTGTAAAGAGTTTGAACTCACCGTCAAACAAATCGGAAGTTTTGGCGATAAATGTTGTAAAACCAGCAAATGTTATTGTTGATGACGGACAGCTGTTGGTTGTACATGAGTTTGAATATCTAATATCGAATCAAAAAACGAACTTCCCAAAGATACAGAACTAAACACCGGGATAGGAGTGGCGTTTGCAGTGCTTTCCAAACGTACAACAAGGGTGTGCTCAACCAAAAAACTTCATGGCAAGGACCACAATTAGAGTGTATGACACTCACGTCCTGAACATCTCCTTTACGTCATTGCAACATGGACTTGATATGCTCAAGGGAAAAAGAAGAAAATTGAATACTTTCCACACAGGTTTTAATTTGTGTAAAAAACTAGGGGTCGCAACTCACCACTTATTATCTACAACTGGTGCCGGTAGTCAACATAAAGTTTCTAATACAGTGGAGGCTAAAGAGAATAATGCCTAAAAAAAGGCACTGGTACTGTTGAGTACTTCTATAATATCCTTGACTCTGTCATTTTAAAGTTGTACAATTATATATTAAATTAACCTCAACAGTCTATAGTCAGGTAAGATTTCTTTTACTGAATGAGTAAAAAGATTATACAATACGAAATCTTATTTTGTAACAAAAACAACTTAAATATATATATATATAGATAATATACTCACTAGTTGTAGCCAGATATTTGTGTGGATAATCTGGTTTTTCTCATCCTACCAGACAAGAAGAAAACATATGTTAGCCAGTTATCATAAAAGGAACAATATATAATCGTGGCGATGAAATGTCAGATTCGCTGTACGCCTGTGAGGTATCGATTTCTGATGTACTAACTAACTACTTTATTACTCTGGGTGACAATGCGATTTTATCTTTCAAGCCTTTAGTTTGAGTTAAAGTTAAAAGGACCCTTTTCAGGGCATTAGCGCCAAAGATATATGGTGCTAATTCAAGATTCTTTATTGACTAATAGGAAATAAATAGATGATGCAAATAATAGGATGTCGGTCGTGTATTCAGTTTTTTGCTGGATAAACTACTGTTTCGGCGAGTAGTTATCGCCTGATCAAAAGGCATGAGTTAATCACGCAACTGCAAGGAGCGGAAGAGTTAAGCTACATCTGGACTAGGTTTGGTGTCGGTAAAAAATGTTTGCAGGAAAATGTGTGGAAGTAACAACTAAAAATTGTAATGTTACAATTGTCTGGAAGAAGAAGAATTAAAGTACAAACGAGAGTTAATCAATTATCGGCTGGTTGAAGGAACATGAGATGTGGTTGAAAATTTTCGTTAGTGTAAAATAGCTCGCTAGAACATGAAGAGTTGGAGTTAAAGCGAGTATTGATTTATTTAACTGGTTAGGAGACAAAAATTTTGCAGCAAATTATACATAGGGCGACTAAAGTAGCATCTGACTTAAAGAAAGGAAGTTTCTGATAGAGTTGAATAATTTTGCAATTGAGAGAAGAGTAAGTAAATCCCGTGCATACCTTTACAGTATTAGATATACCAAGATGGTCTCATATTTGTATACACCAACCGGCACTCGATGGGTGATTTGGACATCACACAGGTCATCTTTTCTTTCCTGGACATTATCTGGTCCCCATTTTAAGTCAGGTTAGGAGCCAAGATTATTTTAACCCCCCTCACCCACCCCTCCCCCCCCAAAAAAAAACACCTCCGTGCAGATCTGAACCCCTGCTCTCCATGACGGTAGATAGCATGTAGCCGCATGCTACCAGGTCTTCCCGAGAGAGGAGTAAAGCTGGAGCTGCATTAGATTGTGCTAACGTAACAACCAAGTTTATTATACAAATGGTCGACACACACGACTTTCAATATTACATAATAAAAGTTGCGGATTTATTGACTGAAAATATGTATATATGCGTGCGTGTGTGTATGTGTGTGTACATATATATATCTATATAAACAAAATATAAATGTTTCTTTGCTAGTAATAGCTAATCTCCAAAAGTCCTTTCCCGATTGCTTTCAAATTTTAAAACAACCTTGCATTCAAATACGGGAGTGTTTTTATATAAGAATCTTGCACAAAACACAAACGACATAGCTCCAGCGACGATCACATCGAGTTTTTGTTTCGTTGCCGCATTTCCGGCGCATGTTTTTACTTTGACCTGAGAAATCTGCATAAAGCTGTTGGCCGAGAGTTCTTCACCGACTTTTAAAATTTTGACACAACGTTGCATTCGAATGCTCGAGTGTTTTTTTCATATTAGGGTGTTGCACAAAGCACGAACTACACAGCTCCAGCGACGATCACATCAGCGTCTTGGTTTTGGTTTCGACGATTGGATTTTTTTGTTGAAGGCGAACTTTGACTGTTGACTGTTGACCTCAGAAATCTGCATGAAGCTGTACGAGATAATAAATTATGGGGTACATATTACACAGGCCGCATGCATTTCTCATTACAATTGATGCTAGCCATTTTAGTCTGGGTGGACATGGATATCAAGGGACCATTAAAAAAAATATAACTAGGTGATGAGATTCACATCCTTTGGAAAGAAAGATAGAAAAAGTTGGTGGACTGGGGGGAGGGGGCGGTGGGAGATAATGACAGATTCTGTTAACTGAGAGAGCTTGAAACATGATTTTACAGTTTTAAATTTTTTTATGTGGAAAACATCGGGAAACTACCACATTACTATCCCAAGAAACTAATCATGGAAGCTAAGCTGAAATGTTTTGGTCATATCAAGCGCCACGACTGATTGGAAAAAATTATAGCAGAAGGCATAGTACTAGGAAGGAGGGGCAGGGGTCGACCGACACGAAGATGGGCACATAATATAAGTGACTTCTTCAGTATGAAAGTTCATGAGGCGGGAGAACTGGCGAGAGACCGAGTTTTTTTCAGGCAGTCTGTGATGAGAGCGACGTTCTGCAAAGGACCTGCTACATGATGATGATGATGATCAATTGTTTTTAAATTATTTACATATTTTAATAACGCTTCCTCTGCTATTCTCTCTCTCTCTCTCTCTATCTCTCTCTCTCTCTCTTTTATTTATTTTTTTTTATTTTGCGAATTTGGTGGTCATTTAGAAGTACATTAGTAAGCATTACTTTCAACTCTGTTTAAAAAAAAAAAGTTTGAGCCTGTGATAAACAAATAACTATATTTCAAAGTCTGAATAATACAAAGACAGACTTATATGTTGCGTGTTCCAGAGCTGGCAAACAGACTATCTCTATATCTGCGCAGACAATGATTGTGATATTAACTTCATTAGACACGTGAGCTTTCTATTTTCTTTCTTTTCCATTTAGACAGATTGAGCAACAGCAACCCCGACTGCTAGTGTATATATATATATATATAAGCGTGTGTTTATAAATAGAGTCAGGAGGCGTCCTCCAAAAATAAACCCCAAGACAAATGTTTATAAGAGAGGCCAAAGAGGCTGGACTAGATTTCATTCATGATATTGAACTGATCGCACAGGATATAATGAAATAAAGTTATATACTGCGATTTGACATATAGTGCCATAACAGAATAATGAATAAATGAAGATATACATATAGAACTCTTGTTGTTCATGTATCTCTCACATATTCTTCACAATTTTTTTTTCATGAACCTACCACACACACATTTTAATAAAGTTTGGAGCCCTGCTCTGTGTCAACACTGAAGGAGCCCCAGATTGTTCGCCCCTCTGTGTCTGCCCGTTGACTTTCCCTGTCCAGTTCGGGAGCTTGTCTCTAGATGGTGCCCTGGGCGGGCAGTCTATTCACGCTAGCTTACCCTGTGTGGAGATATTCGTTTCCTGGAAAACGTTCCTAGTTTTAAAGGACATGTTTTCCGGTGTTCAAATATTTCAACAGCCTCTCCTGACTGGGCTCATTTGAAACAGAAAATATGTTTCGTTATCACAAATGCTAGAGGGAAAAAAAAGGAGGGGAGGGATATTGGAAAGTCGTAGCGCAACGACAAAGTAACAGAGTTGCACTAGAACATACTGACATGAGCTTGTAGTCTACTAAATAAACAAACAGATGCTTCTTCATCTTCTTCTTCATCCTCTTTTCTGTACTACTGGAATGCCTTAGGGCACCAGGGAAAGAAGAGATCTCTAGAACGGGCCCTTCTGTTGGCTTCGTATATAGAACTTTTCAGTGTCTCTGATATTTATGCGGTCCATTTTCTGCGTGGATGGCCTATGGGACTGTTACCACTGTATCTGTATAGCATTGCTCTCTGTGGTACCCTGTCTGCTGTCAATCTTGTTGCATGGCCAAACCATTTGGTTTGTTGTCTACCTATAAAGTTCAGTATTGGTTCTGTGCTGACTCCTCGCATTATATCATCGTTCCTACGTCGATCCTTTCTCGTTACACCTAGCATAGTACGTAAACATTGTATTTCTGTCGTGACTATTTTCCTTTTGTCTTCTAAAGACAGTGTCCATGTTTGACATTGATAGGATAGCGTTGGTAAGAATATTTTGTTAGCTGTGTTCTTTAAGTATTCATATTCACATGCTTGTATTTCAAAATTTGTGCAATTTAGCCTAAAACTTTATTGGCTTCATTGCATCTTTATTTGGATTTCTTTATTCATTCTTCCGTCGTCTGAAAAAAAATACTTCCCAGATATGTAAAATCCTTCGTCTGCATTTGATTGGTGTTCATCAATTTTGATATTTGTGGCTCTTTCTTTTGTGGAAAACGTCTTCACTTCTGTTCTGTCTACATTGATCTTCATATCGTAACTGTCGCATTCTGAGTGGAGTCTATCAATATTTTCTCGTAGCTAAACTGCTGCTGGTGCTATGATTGCCTGGTCATGGGCGGAAAGCAATTCCTTTAGTAATTCTCCGATGTTGTCCCCCTCACTGATGTGAGTTGATTTGCAGATTTGGTCGCCGTATGTGATGTACAGTAGTGGTGATAGAACACACCCCTGTCCCAATCCAGATCTAATGTCACGAACTTTTCTGACATTCCTCTATTTGTTCTAACTCTGCATTGACAGTTCACGTTTAAACTCTTGCACAATTTAATAAGATGTTCATTTACTCCGTAATCCTGTAGTACTTTCCATAATTTATCCCTGTTGACTCAAACGAAAGCTTTCGCTTGATCTACGAATGCGACGTGTAGTTCTTAAGATGCAAATTAGATGCATGTTTTAAAACTAATAAATTGTTTGTTATGGTGCGTCCCAGAAGTCTTGACAAACTTTAATATCTGTAACTTCGCAACTGTTTGGTGAAGTTGTTGAAATCTGGCACGCTGCCTATTTTTTAAAAAAAATGTCCTTACAAGAACGTAACAAAAATTTTTAACAGTCATTTAGGTTTCATTTTGCCTTATCTGTGGCAACTGAAAAAACACAAATACCC